TACAAACTGTATGGCCGTGGCAGGCTTCTTGCTAACTGTTCTTACAGCTTAAATTAATCCATTTCTATAAATCTATACCTTGCCACGTGGCTCGTGGCTTACCGGCATCTTTACATGCTGTTTGTCATCGTGGCGGCTGGCAGTGTCTCTCTGACTCAGCCTTCCACTTCCCAGCTTTATTCTCCTCCTTGTCCCGCCTACACTTCCTGCCTAGCCAATGGCCAATCAGTGTTTTATTTATTGACTAATCAGCAACACATCTGCCATACAGAACATCCCACAGCAGAGGCCCTTAAGGAGGAAATGAAGATTTTCCTTAAAGAAATTGAGGAAAAGACAAACAAAAAATTGGAAGAAATCAATAAATTCCTTAAAGAAAGCCAAGAAAGCCAAGAAAAAAATCAAACAGGTGAAGGAAACAGTTCAAGACTGGAAAATTGAAAATAGAAGCAATAAAAAAAAAAACACAAACTGAGGAAATTCTGGAAATAGAAAATCTGAGTAAGCGAACAGGAACTACAGATGCAAGCATAACCAACAGACTACAAGGGATGGAAGAGAGAATCTCAGGTGTTGAGGATACAACTGAGGAAACAGATTCATCAGTCAAAGAAAACACTAAAGTCATAACAAAAAACATCCAGGAAATCTGGGACACCATGAAAAGACCAAACCTAAGAATAATAAGAAGGAGAAGATTCCCAGTTCAAAGGCACAGAAAATATATTCAACAAAATCATAGAAGAAAACTTTGCAATCTAAAGAAGGATATGCCTATGAAGGTACAAGAAGCTTACAGAACCAAATAGACTGAACAAAAATAATAAATAAATAAATAAGTCCTCTGTCACATAATAATCAAAATACTAAACATAGAATAAAGAAAGAATATTAAAAGCTACAAAAGGCCGGGCGGTGGTGGCGCACGCCTTTAATCCCAGCACTCGGGAGGCAGAGCCAGGCGGATCTCTGTGAGTTCGAGGCCAGCCTGGGCTACCAAGTGAGTCCCAGGAAAGGCGCAAAGCTACACAGAGAAACCCTGTCTCGAAAAAACCAAAAAAAAAAAAAAAAAAAAAAAAAAGCTACAAAGGAAAAAGGCCAAGTAACATATAAAGGCAGACCTATCAGAATTACACCCGACTTCTCAATGGAGACTCTAAAAGCCAAAAGGTATTGGACAGGCGTCTTGCAGACTCTAAGAGACCACAGATGCCAGCCCAGACTATGATACCCAGCAAAACTTTCAATCACTATGGATGGAGAAAACAAGATACTTCATGACAAAGTCAAATTTAAACAATATCTATCACAAATCCAGCCCTACAGAAGGTACTAGAAGGAAAATTCCAAATCAAGGAAGTTAGCTACACCCATGAAAACATAGACAATAGATAATCTCAGGCCAGCAAAAACAAAAAAAGGTAAACACACACACACACACAACCACCACCACCACCAACAACAACAACAAACTAACAGGAATTAACAATCACTGGTCATTAAAATTTCTCAATCTCAATGAACTCAATTCACCAATAGAAAAAGACGGGCTAACAGAATGGATATAAAAACAGGATCCATCCTTCTGCTGCATACAAAAAAACACATTTCAACATCAAACATAGACATTACCTCAGAGTAAAAGGTTGGAAAAACATTTTCCCATCAAATGGACCTAAGAAGTAAGCTAGTATAGCTATCCTAATATCCAACAAAATAAACTTCAAACCAAAATATCAAAAGAGATGGAGAAAGACACTTCATATTCATCCAGTAACTGATGGAAACAGATGCAGAGACCCACAGCCAAACATTAGGCTGAGCTGGGGGAAGCCTGCTAAAGAGAGGGAGGAATGACTGTACAAGCCAGAGGGGTCAAGGACATCACAAGAAAACCCACAGAAACAACTAACCTGGGCTCACAGGAGCTCACAGAGTCTGAACCAACAACCAGGGAGCCTGCATGGGACTGACCTAGGCCCTCTACATATATGTAACCATTGTGTGGCTTGGTCTACTTGTGGAACTCCTAACAGTGGGAGCAGGAGCTGTCCTTATGCTTTGGCTGGCTTTTGGGAACCCATTTCTCATACTGGATTGCCTTGCCCAGCCTTAATACAAAGGGCAGTGGTGAGTCTTACCACAACTTGATATGTCATGCTTTATTGATACCCATGGGAGGCTTGCCCCTTTCTGAACAGAAACAGAAGAGGAGTGGATTAGGAGGGGTGGGGCAGAGGGGAAGTGCAGGAGGAAAAGGTTGGAGAGGGAGCTTCAGGCTCAGTGAGAGAGCCAGTCTCAAATGAGATGATGAAAAACAATTGAGGAAGACACCAGACATCAACCTTTGTCATCCGCATACTCATACGTGCATGCCTACACACTGCACACACACGAACATGTACACACACATACACATAAAGATGCACAAATGACCAGCCAGCACATGAAGACAAATGTTCTCCATGAATCAGGGCAATGAAAGTCCAAGCCAAAAACCCATCAGGATGGTTACTACCAAAAAACAAAACCAAATGTGTGCTGTGAAAGATGAAGAGACAGAAGCTATGAAAAACGTACAGTATATCAGGTCCTCAAAAAACTTAAAACTAGAGCTGGGTATGGTGACACACACCTTTAATCCCAGGACTCAGGAGGTAGAGGCAGGCAGATCTCTGAGCTTGAGGCCAGCCTGGGCTACAGTATGAGTTCCAGGACAGCCAAGGCTACACAGAGAAACTCTTGTCTTGAAAACAAATTTTAATTAGAATTCTACTACAGTGTATAAATCCAAAAATAATTGAAAACATGGTCTTCTACTGTTTGAGACAGGGTATTGCTGTGCAACCCAGGCTAGCCTCAACCTCCTGAGCACTATGATTATAGATGTGCACCTGTGTGGGCCCTGGCCTTCCCATATTGAGTAAACTGTTGCCTGCTTGCCGACCCTGACCAGATGTCCTCCCTATGCTGATTCCCTGCCGGTTTCCACCCTCCTGAACGCTCACAGGAGGTTCTTTGTTTGTGTATCCTGCATTTGATGTAAACAGTTTAGATGCAAGAATGTAGAACATTGGGTAGCGAACTTCTGCCCTCCAGGGTTCCTCCATTGTGCTGTAGGCCTGTATTTAAGGTTTCCTCCCTCCTTCAATAAACGGCATTCGGCATTCTGCTGTGGTGACTGACTCGCTGTTTCTTGTCTCTATGTTTTAATCCACAGCCCCTCACTCGGACATGGTGAACGGGTGGCGGTAGCGCGGGCGTTACCGCAACACACCTGAGATCAGAGTTTTGAAGATGTATTTATACTTCTGTATTTATAGTGGCATCATTCATGAAAGTGTGAAGAAAGAAATACCCTAAGGGGACCAATGGGTGAGTGAATAGGCAAAACTGGGTACCGTGACAGTTAACATTGTCAACTTGACAAGATCTAGAACCATCTGGGAGACAAGTCTCTGAGCATGCCTGTGAGGGGTCATCTAAATTAGGTTAATTAAGATAGGAAGACTCTCTCTGAATGTGGGTGGTGCCATTCCATGGGCTGGAGTGCCAAACTTTGTAAAAAAGAGAAAGCCAGCTGAGCACCTCCATCCTTGACTGTGGGTACGTGACCAGCTCAACTCTTGTGATTATGACTTCCTTGTCACAGGGGACTATACCTACACCTGTAAGCCAAAACAAACCCTTTCTCCATTAAGTTGCTTTTGTCAGGGTGTTTTATCACTCCAATGGAGCCAAACTACACAGTGAGATCCTGTCATTCGGCTGACAAGAAGGCAGTAGGAGGAGGCACTTGACCCAAGTTCAATCTTTAGAACCCACAGAAAAGTGAAAAGATTTTAAAGCTAATTCCACAAAGTTGTCTTCTGACTGCCACAGCCATGGCACATGTATATACACACATACATGCAATAATTATATTAAGTAGTTGGAAGCAAATTCCTTCAGTTGCTACTACCTCTGGCTCTGCTTCTATAAGCTTAGTTGTTGCTGGTGAGGCTGGGGAGTTAATTCAGTTAAGTTCGTGTCACACAAATTGTAACTTTCAAATTCCCTTGAACAAACCTGAGGGGCTGAGCAGAACAGGACAGATGATCCACTTGTATTAGCTACTTCTCTATTGCTGTGATTAAGAAAAACAAACAAAAACAAAAAAAAACCCACATAACAGCAACAACAGAAACATGACCAAGGCAACTTGTGGTGACATATTGTGTACCCTAATAAAATTTGCCTGAAGATCAGAGGACAGAACAAACCACTAGGTTAAACATAGAGTCCAGACAGTGGTGGCACACACCTTTAATCCTAGCAATCAGGAGGTAAAGATCTGTCTGGATCTCTGTGAGTTCAAAGCCACCCGGGACTACATGAGATTGACTCAGTCTTAGGAGAGAAACAGAGCCAGGCAGTGGTGGCACACACCTTTAATCTCAGTCCTTGGGAATCACACGCCTTTAATTCCAGCACTTGAAATCTCATGCCTTTGCTACCAGTATTTGGGAAGAACACACATCTTTAATCCCAGTACTAAGAAGAAAGTCATATGGCTGAAAAAAGTATATAAGGGGTGAAGAGACAGGAACTAAAGGCTTTTCGGCCGAAGCCCTTTTTCAGCTAGAGCCCTTTTTGGTTGAAGGCTTTTCACTGGAGAGCTTTTGGCTGAGGACTCAGAGACATTCAGTCAGAGGATTCATGGAGTTGGTGAGGTGAGAAGTAGCTGTGGTGTTCCTCAGCATTTACCCCAATACCTGGCTCCGGGTTTTGTTTTTTTTTTGGTTTTTTTTTTTTTTTTTTGGTTTTTCGAGACAGGGTTTCTCTGTGTAGCTTTGCGCCTTTCCTGGGACTCACTTGGTAGCCCAGGCTGGCCTCGAACTCACAGAGATCCGCCTGCCTCTGCCTCCTGAGTGCTGGGATTAAAGGCGTGCGCCACCACCGCCCGGCCTTTGTTTTGTTTTTTTAATCATAAGACCATTTAGGATTCGAGTAACAGCAGCTAATAGAAGAAAATGTTTATTTGGGCCTAGGGTTCCAGAGAGGTCATCACAGCAGAGCATCATGGCAGCAGGCAGCAGACGCGGTGGCCCAGAGAGCAAACCGGAAATGGCTGGAGGCTTTGAAACCTCAAAGTCCACCCTAGTGACCTGCTTCCTCCAGCAAGGCCACCCCACTGGGGACCATACATTCAAATGTCCAAGAACATGGGGGTGTACTGAGGATTTGGGGGGTTTTTTGCCAAGTTTTTCCAATGTTTGTCCTAAAGAGGGTATTTTCTTGTTCCTTTAAGGTGGAGTAATGTGTATGTGGGGAGAAATAAATGTGTGTGTACATGTGTGTGCAGAGGCCAGAGGCTGATGATGGGTGTCTTCCTCAGTCATTCTCCACCTTATATTTTGAGACAGTGTCTCTCACTGAACCTGGCACTTACCATTTCAGCTATACTGGCTGGCCAGAGAGTCTCAGGATATGCATATCTCTGCCCAGAACTAAGGCAGACACAGGCATGCACCATGCCTGGCTTTTTATATGGGTGTAAGAATTCAAACTTAGGGCCTCACGTCTATAGTGAGCACTCTGCCCCAGGAGTATTCTTCGACACTGAAAAACTGACTCTGTTTTCTACCATACTGCAATACCACCCTGTGAGGCATATAGAAATGGCTTTCTATTTCACTTTGATGAGTTGGAAAACAACATACCAAGACAGTTTAAATCAAAACGGACTGATTTTATGAAAATAAAGAGATGTTTCAACAACAAAAAGTTCTCCCTGGCACTTGCTTTGGCTGGGACCTTTGAAATTAAGGCCAAGGTGCTGATAAGCAGTCACCCTTGAAACATCCCCTCAGCACAAGGCTGACTTTGAGCAAATTCACTTAGTCAGGGAAGGTTTTGTGCTGTCAGTCTTGGGTCCCTTGTGGCTCATGTGCAGTGATGTGTGAGGTAGCTTTCTTTGTATTTCACAGACATTCCTGTTCCTGCTCTGACCAAGCAGGTGACTGTCCCAGGTGTGGGATCTGTCCTCTCCAGCCTAGGCCTGTAACTCCATCTTCCAGTCTAGCTCTTCATATCCAGAGGGATGCTTTCTTCATCCATGGGTTGTTTAGATTTTAACTGGCTGTTCATTGTTAAAAAGGAGTATCTTAAACCACCTGCCATGCTGAAAAGAAAGGGGGGGGGGAATGAACACCCCACAGGCACTGTTAATGTTTTATAATTGCAGTCAGCTTAATTTGAATACAACTATTAAGATCTCTGGGGTTTTTTTCCTCACAGGGCTGTGGATTGAGAATTTCTTCTCTACAAATGTTTGGGACAGGAAAAGGAAATGAGTGCTCAGTTTTTATTGAATAAAGTATACGCAATGACTCTACAAATGATACCCAGGCCTAGAACCCAAAAATGTGTTCAAAAGCATCACAGTCCCAACAGCATCCTTGGGACACAGCACTTCAAAAGGCTGCAAGGTAATGAGAGCCTCATGGCAGGAGGAAGATGTGTGAATTGAATTTAGATCTCAGCCCTGAGATTCTTTATGACACATGTCCCCAGAGAGCATGTGAAAATGATGTCTACAAACACAAAGGGCCTGGAACAGGGGATGTGGCTTGGTGGTAGAGCACCTACTTGCCTGGCATGCACATGGCCCTGGTTCCATCCCCAGCATGACAAACAGAACATTTCTCTTTGCCTTTTCACTTATTATATATCTAGTAATTGTGTTACATCCCTTACTTTACTGTGAGTTCACTTACCAAATATTTAATCCTATAAAGTTTAAGAGAGAGAAAATGTAGTCGCCACCAACCAACATCCCAATGTAGGCAACCGATACATTCTGCAAAGAGAGGGGGCGCATCACTGATAGGAACTTGAGGGAAAATGCAGACATGTGAAACCTGAATCCAGACATAGGGTTACTTTGCATAGAGGCTTGCATGGAATACCTAATGACATGTGGCTTCATAAATAAACGACATCAACTAAAATAGAGGAACAGAAAACTGTACTGTTTACTCCTTCTGCATTCCAGGCAAAAGGTGGGAGAGCTGCCTTGTAATTTGCTTGCCAGCTCCCATCTTTATACCATCACTGCACAGGACATTTTGTCCCTATCACCCCAGCCTGAACAGAGCAGCCAGCTAAGTTCTAAGTAGAACTCTATACAAGCTCCTTGAGGAAGCCACTGGGTGGAGTAGGTAAGATTTGCTCACTCACTCTAGGAGCCTATGTGAATAGAGAAGTATAGACTGGAATTCAGACCACTCTCTATTCAAATGTGTGTGTTTTCAAATGCACACAAGCAAACACAAACACCTTTGTGCCAATCTACCAATCCAAGTTCATTGCTTTATCACAGAGCATAAATGTCACTGAAAACTTCCTTCAGAAGAGTTTGTCCTCTTGGAGGACAGGTTCTCCCAGCAAGCCAAATTCCAGACAACAAAGTGATCACAGATAGTTGGATTATTTTTCTTTCAGGTTGATACTTGTTTTCCCAAATTATGCCCTCACCTGCTTCCAATTTTAAAGTAGTAATCTCTTTCCTTTTTGAGTTAGCAACCTCACTCATACACTAGATAAGCAAGAGGGATCACACAGACCCTCTGAGGGAGTCACAAGCCTCCACACACACTGCATCTCTGTCCACAGCAAAAGCAGCTTTTGGCACACAATTTCCATCTGGCTCCCACCTAGATGTTTAGTACAAGGTTCCATCACTTACCTTGATAGCTCCAACCACTGCTGTGGTCAGAGCCGAGTTGTAATAGCTGCAAAGAACTGTGGAGTACATCAGCAGAAACCTGAGGGTGGGAGACAAAGAGAGCATGAGCACCACCCTATTCTGGGTGTCATGAAAGTTCTAGAACCTGGATCTAGACATTTATCATTTGGCTTTTTACAAGACATAGGCTCAGCTGTGCATAAGCCAAACCTGATTAGGTGTCCGGCCTTTCTCATTAGTGTGTCCACAAAGTGAGGGAAAGAAAAGGATTTCTTATCAACATGTATTAATTCCACAAGTTTGATTATGACATCTTCATACAGTATACAGTATATTTTGATCACATCCAACTCCCACTACCCCCTTCTCAGTTATTCCCCTATTTTCAAGAGACTTTTGTTTTTGTTGGGGGAAGTCTTTTGTCTTTGTTTTTGGTGACCCACCGCATTTTTTTGTTTTTTGTTTGAGACAGAGTTGGTCTCTCTATGTAGCCCTGGCTGGCCTGGAACTCACTGTGTAGACAAGACTGACCTTGAATTCAGAGAGATCCACCTGCCTCTCTTTTCCAAGTGCTTGGATTAAGGGCATACAACACCATGCCTGTCAAAATGTCCTTGTTTTGGTAGAAATGTTATTAGTTGTGTCAGGCCACTCTGGAAAACACCTTGGCCTGCCTGCAGACTCAGGAGATGGGGGCCCAAGATCCCATTACCCATGTGCCAGACTATGGGCAGCCAGGACACTTACTTACCACTGCACTGAGCTAGAGGAGGGGATCACTGGCTAAAAAAATGGAGTTGCTAGGAAAGAACCCCAGTCCTTCTTAACAGAGGGTTTGAAGATAGAGAGGCTATACTTCTCAATATGTCCACTAGATGTCCTCAAAGAAGGTAAATATAGGAAATTTGTTTTTTGTTTTTTGTTTTTCAAGACAGGTTTCTGTGTGTAGCACTAGCTGTCCTGGAACTCAATCTGTAGACCAGGCTGGCCTTGAACTCACAGAGATCCACCTGCCTCTGACTCCCAGGTGCTGGAATTGAAGGTGTGTGCTACCATCACCCAGTTTTGGTTTTTTGTTTGTTTTAGAAATCATTTTTAAATGGGGCTCAGCTTGTCATATGTTCAGTAGGCAAGGATGGGGACCTGTGTTTAGATCCTGAGCTCACATGTGGGTTTTTTTGTTTGTTTGTTTTTTGTTTTTGTTTTTTTTGTTTTTTTTAGAAAAAGCCAGGTAGGATAGTGCATACATGCAATCCCAGGACTAGGAGATAGAAAGAGGAGAGAAGGTCTTTGGGCTTGCTGGTCACCCAATATAGCCAAATCAAGGAGCTCTACGTTCAGTGGGAGACCCTTTATCAAAAACCAAGGTGGAGAGTGGTAGAGGAGATACATGATGTCAACCACTGGCCTTCAGACACATGTACACACATGGGCATGTCTACACAACTGGACACACACACTATAAATTATTTTTAAGGAAATAAATTATTTTTAAAGAAACATTTCTACATGCAGATAATTACCTATAAAGGGCACTGGATAAGACCAAGACCTTGATAAAAAAGAGCCTTCATTAATTCCTTACATGGTATTTTACTAAGGTCACTATTGCTGTGATGAAACACCACGACAAAGATACTTGAGGAGGAAGGGTTTATTCAGCTTACACTTCCACAACACTGTTCATCATTGGAGGAAGTCAGGACAGGAATTCAAACAGGGCAGGAACTCAGAGGCAGGAGCTGACACAGACACCATGGAGGAGGGCTGCTTACTGGCCTGCCCAGCATGCTTTCTTCTAAGACCCAGGACCAGCAGCCCAGGAATGACACCACCCACAGTGAATCACTAAGAAAATGCCCCACAGCCAGATCTTATGGAGTCATTTTCTCAATTGAGGTTCCCTCCATTCAGGTAACTGTAGCTCGTGTCAAGTTGGATAAAACTATCCAGCACACATAGGAAATCACATCACTTGGTTTCTGTTTGTATTTATTTATTTACTTACTTACTTATTTTTGAGTTCCATACAACACAAGCCAGCATATACACGAGTGTAGTGCATATGTTTAGACAATAAAAACCAATTTACACACCTCCTACAGACTGTAATGGTACCATGGTGCTCAATCTTGTCAGTATGACTAGACTTAGGATCAGCACAGAAAAGTACTACCTGGCATTTCTGTGAGGGAATTTCCAGAAAAGTTTAACTTTAACTGGAGGGAAAACCCACCCCAAATGTGGGCAGCACAATCCCAGGGCTTCAGTCCCAAACTGAATATAAAGGAGCACTTGAGCTGACATCAGTATTCATCTCTCTCTGCTTTACCACAGATGCACTGTGACAGCGTCTCACTCTCCTGCCACCGTCCTGCTCTGCCAAGATGGACTGTACTCTCCAACAGTGAGTCACAGCAGGAGAAAAGGTTGCTTTCATCTTTGACTCCAGGCTCATACCCACAGTCACAGGCAGGTCATAGAAGCAAGAATCTCTCCTCCTCTCCTCCTTGGAAGAGGTTTATACTTCTGTCTTTCTCCTCCTTCTGTCTTGGAGTTGGCCATAAAGAAACTCTCCGACTTATCTCATCTGGCAAATGATCATCAGAACCCCATTTCTAAAGGGTGGTGTCCCACATCTAGAAGAAAGGAAACTACAGAGAGAGAATGGGAAACATCTAAACAGAGGCTTTCCTTTCTTTCCCAGGCTTGCCCCACACTGTCCATCAAAGTGAGAACACACCCTGTCTGTCCAATTGCATCTCCATACCACAGTCCACATTTCAATCCTGTCTATGCCATGACAACTGAGCACTTGGAGATTTTTAAAAAAGGGAAACAAAAATGAACCTTGCATTCACCAAGAGAGCAGTGTACCCCACCTCCAAGGTTGATCCTCCCAAGACTCTCTGCATTTTTTCCCTCTAGCTGCTCATCTGTATCCTTTAAACTATCTACCCTTTATAACAAGATTCAGGGTATCTGGTGTTTTCTTTATGAGTTTTCCGAGCTGCTCTAGCAAACGGCTTGGACTCGAGGAAGGTGTTATGAGAACCCCAGTTTTAGTTAATGCTCTGGAAGTTCTGGACTTGTGGGCTGGAGAGATAACTCAGTTGGTATAGTACATAAGGACCTGAGTTCTATCTCTAAAGCTCATGGAGGGTGGGGGAGCTGGGCATACTTATAACCCCAGCACTGTGATAGGTGGATCCCTAGGGCTTGATGGCCAACCAATCCAGCCGAGTCAGCGACCTCCAGGGCAGTAAGAGACCCTGTCTCTAAAAAACAAGGTAGAGAACTTTGGAGAATTTACACCCCAGAATTGTTTTGACCTCTGTGTTTTGGTACAGGTGGGGTGCAGGGGGAGTGGGAAGAAGGAGAGAGACAGAAGAGAGAATGGGAGGAGAGAGGGAGAGGGAGGAGAAAGAGAGAGTGGGAGGAGGAGAGGGAGAGAGAGAGAGAGAGATGTTCTGGACTCCAAGTGGTCCTAAAGTGGGCCAGGATCTGGCACTACCTCCAGGTAGATGTGTCAGAACTGAATTGAACTGGAAGACACCAGCTGAATATCCTTGGCAAAACAACTTACATGCTTGTGGGGAGAAATCCTTAGGGCTTCCTCAGCTGCAGAAGTGACTGACCTGTGTAGTGAGACTACAGTGGGAAAAGCTGGGTTTGAATTTGGCTTTTCTACTCGAAGCCTAAGTGCATTATTCTCTGCAGTTCAAAGAATTTCAGATAATCCCAGCTTCTTCAGCTCTGGGAAGACTGAAATGTGCTGAAGATGTACAAGGGCACAGGCTGACCATGGTGTGCCTTTCTGAAGCTTTGATGCTCTGTTAATATCTGCCTTATCGACACTTGTTCAACTATGTTCATTGTGGGAACCCAAATTACTCAGGGTCAGAGAATCTGAGCTTGCTTTACCCAGCAGGGCTGCATAATGGGATGATTTGGCCACGGATGTGGTTATCAGATGTTTGGAAGGGTCTACACTTGGCTGTACAGTGTGCTTTGATCTTGAAAGGGGGAGGTCTTTTGCCTTGCCCCTTGGCATTGTATAAAAAGTTCTTTGGAATAAACCTCGGGGTGACTGGGTATTGACCCAGGGCCCTCCCGAAGCTATCCCGTGTCTCTGTCTTTCTTATCGTCTCTTTCTATCTTTCTATCTATCATTTCCTCATTCCTCTCTCCTCCCCACAAGAACCCTTCGACAGGTCAGAGCTGGACTCCAGCAGACTCCCACAGTTCATAGCAGCATTATTCATAATAGTCAGAACCTAAAAACAACCTAGATACCCCTCAACCGAAGAATGAATCAAGAAAATGTGGTACGCTGGGCTGTGGTGGCGCACGCCTTTAATCCCAGCACTTGGAGGCAGAGCCAGGCGGATCTGTGTGAGTTTGAGGACTGCCTGGTCTACAGAGAAAGATCCAGGACAAGCACCAAAACTACACAGAGAAACCCTGTCTTCAGAAAAGAGAGAGAGAGAGAGAGAGAGAGAGAGAGAGAGAGAGAGAGAGAGAGAGAGGAAGGAAGGAAGGGAGGAAGGAAGGAAGGAAGGAAGAAAGAAAAAAAGAGAAAGAAAGAGAGAAAGAAAATGTGGTACATATACACAATGGAGTATTACTCAGCTGTAAAAAAAAAGACATCATGAAATTTTCAGAAAAATAGATGGAACTAGAAAATATTATCCTGAGTGAGGTAACCCAGACTCAGAAAGACAAACATGGCATGTACTCACTCATAAGTGGATACTAGATGTAAAGCAAAGGATAACCAGTCTACAACCCACAGCTCCAGAGAAGCTAGAAGGAGGACCCTAAGAGGGATGCATGGGTCACCTTGGGAAGGGAAAATAGATGAGATCTCCATGAGTAAACTGGGGATGGGGGTGGCAATAGAGGGTAGGGGATGGGGGATGAGAACTTGAGGGAACGGGATGGTCAAGCTGGGGGAGGGGTGGAGTGGGAGAGCAATGAAAGAGATATCTTGATAGAGGGAGACATGGGGTTAGAGAGAAACCGGGTGCTAGGGAAATTCCCAGGAATCCACAAGGACAACCCCAGATTAGACTACTAGCCAATAGTGGAGAGGGTGCCTGAACTGGCCTACCCTGGTAATCAAATTGGTGAATATCCTAACTGTCATCATAGAGCCTTCATCCAGTAACTGATGGAAGCTGATGCAGAGATCCACAGCCAAGCACCAGGAGTGAGCTGACCTCCAGAAGTCCAGTCGAAGAGAGAGAAGAGGAATTATATGAGCAAGGGGGGTCAAGATCATGATGGAGAAATCTACAGAGACAACTGAACCAAGCTCGTAGGAACTCACAAACTTTAGATCGACAACTGTGGAAACTGCATGGGACCAGACTAGGTCCTCTGCTGAAAGACCCTAACCCTTTAGACTTACACCCCCCAAGCCCCAGGAGAATAAGGAACTAAAAAGAAAACTAGTTCCAAGGGCAAGCTGACTCAATCATTATTCAACCACCCCTGTAACAATGTAACAATGTAAAAAGATTTCTGTTAAGAGATGTGCTCAACTGTGACTGGGATAGCTACAAGTGTTCCAGGAAGGACCACTGTGACCTTTGTGTAAACTCCACTCACGCCCTGATACCCCCCTTGAGGGTTCAGGAAGAATGTACATGCAGAGGTGACTGTACCCACTCTGTGTCAGACCATGATCTTGTGAAATGAAATTGTATGGGAATTGTAATCTTATGGCTTTTGTGGGTTTTTCCTTTAAAAGCACCTATGTGACTGTAGTGCAATGTGACTCTTGCTCTCTGGAGCTGAGTTTGCCCGACTGTACAGCCGCTTCAATAAACACCTCTTGCTGTTGCATCAACTGGACTGGAGTCTGGGTTCTTGGGGCGCCCACTTGAGACCCTAGATTATGGGGTCTAACACTGCATACGGGAGACAGTTGTGTAGCTGGGTCTGTCGTCTGAGGGACCCCTGGCAGTGGGATCAGGATCTATCCCTTGGTCATGAGCTGGCTTTCTGGAGCCCACTACCTATGGTGGGACGCCTTGCTCAGCCTTGATGCAGGGCAAGGGGCTTGGTCCTGCCTCAGCTGAATGTGCCAGGCTTTGCTGACTCCCTCTGGGAGCCTTTACTCTTTTGGAGGAGGAGATGGGGGTGGATCAGTGTGGGGGCGGGGGGGGGGGGGGGAGGATGGGGAAGAAGGCTGGGAGGAGCAGGGGAGGGATGAGAGGGGGATCTATGGTTGGTAATGTAAAATGAATAAAAAATCCTGTGTGCAAGCTCTCCCTCTCCTCAGAGCCCATCCTTCTGCTGGGACACCTCTTTAGAAGTACAAGTTGAAAATCCAAAAACCACCAGAAGTGTGTGTGTGTGTGTGTGTGTGTGTGTGTGTGTGTGTGTGTGTGTGTGAGAGAGAGAGAGAGAGAGAGAGAGAGAGACAGAGACAGAGACAGAGACAGAGAGAGACAGAGAGACAGAGAGGCCAAAACAACTCTGGGCACTATGAGTAGGGAAGTCTGATGTTCTTGTGTTTCTATTAAAGAGCATACTGCTTCCTTGGGGAGATCAAAGGTCCTGGGACGGGTTAGAAATAGATTAGGATAATCCACTTGTGTGGTGATATTTAATTTGTGCTGAAATGTGATATTTTATTTGTATGTTAATAAATAAAGTTTGCCTGGAGATCAGAGGCCATAGTCAGCCAAAAATAGAAGTCAGGTGGTGGTGGCACATGCCCTTAATCCGATCACATGGCAGGCAGAGTCTCTGTGTGTTCAAGGACTCAGCCAAGCATGGTGACACACGCCTTTAATCCCAATACCAACCATAGAGACCTGGAGGTCTGTACAGACAGGCAGTGATGAGGAAGTGATGTTGTGGTGATATTGTGTTCCCCAAAATATTGTGCACCCTAATAAACTTATCTGGTGTCAGAGAACAGAACAGCCACTAGATATAGAGGCCAGAAAATGGTGGCACTCACACCTTTAACCCTAGCCTTCTGGAGGCAGAGATCCACCTGGATCTCTGTGAGTTCAAAGCCACACTGGAAATGGCCAGGCATGGTGACTCACGCCTTTAATCCCAGGAAGTAATGGCAGAAAGCAGAAAGGTATATAAGGCGTGAAGACCAGGAACTAGAGCTGGTTAAGCTTTTAGGCTTTTGAGCAACAGTTCAGCTGAGATTCATTCTGGATGAGGACTCAGAGGCTTCGAGTCTGAGGAAACAGGATCAGCTGAGGAATTGGCAAGGTGAGGTGGCTGTGGCCTGTTCTGCTTCTCTGATCTTCCAGTGTTCACCTCAACACCTGGCCCCAGGTTTGTTTTTATTAATAAGACCTTTTAAGATTCGTGCTACATGATGTGGCTAGACTTAGAGCCAATGAGAAGGCAGAACAGGAAGACAATAAAGGCACAGGTTAGACAGGAAGAAGTTCTCTTAGGAAGCTATGGCAAGGTGGAAAGCTAAGGTTAGTTGGCGGCTATTGCTTTGATCTCTACTGCTTGCACCCCTGTATTTGGCTCTGTGTTTCTTATTTAATAAGAATGTTTAGAAATTCTTCTACACACTTGGACAACAGGAAGCTGGTACCAGCTGCTAAAGGAATGAACTGGAACCTGTAATCTCTTAACAGAGTGGCCTTTTTCAAGTTGAGGCTGCCAGTCTGCATTTTACCTTGCATGCACTGAATATTTGAGCTCCCGCGGTCTATCTCGCCTTCCTGAAGCACTCAGGCCCCATAGCCTATTTGCAAACCCTTAATCACACACTGAAGTTTCCAGAGGATTAGTGTAACCTTACCATAACTCAAAGGGAAATAAACACCTACCCTTTCAACATTCTATTGGCTTTGTAACAAGCTTATTCAAAATGTAGTAAAGTCCAGTGAGACAGCTCAGCACATAAAAGCCCTTGCCTCCAAGCCTGACAACCGATGCTCAATCCTTGGGATGGATATGGTGAAAGAAAAGAACAAACTCCACATTCACACTATGGCAGCATGTGGATGCTACACACACACACACACACACACACACACACACACACACACACAAACTTTGAGAATCTCCTGCCTCAACCTCTTGGGTGATGGATCTATAGGCATGTTCCACAATGCACAGCTTAGCATTTCCTACTGACCCCTTTCTATGTGTTTAATATGTTCCAAGTCTGCTTTATAATTAAATCCTTCAGTATGCATATCCTAGCCTCATGAAAAGATGAAGTTAAGCAGCTTATCCACAAACCCAGAGCTAATTAGTGGCAAATCCAGGATTGAACCTCCACTCATGTGCTGTGTGTGGCACATAGGTGGAGACACACACACACACACACAGTAATAATAAATGAAGAACTCCAACAAGATAACTATTAAATCCAACAAAGCTAAAGAAAGAGTTAATGGAAGCTAGAGAGATAGATGACTAGTTAAGAGCACTTGCTACTCTTGCAGAAGACCTGGGTTTAGGTCTCACCACCCACATTGTGACTCAAAACACCTATAACTCCAGTTCCAGGGGACCCAGCACTCTCTCCGACCTCCATAAATATCTGAAATGTTTAGACCAACAAAAATATAAAGTCTGTACTTCCAGCAGAGACACATTTTTTAAAAACATCTTCTACCCATGTATGTGTAGTGGGGATGGGAACACTGTCCAGAGAAAGTCAAGAGAAACATAGGAAACAGGATTCTGACAGAGCAGACAGACAGACAGAGGGCATATTTAGATCTGACTTGTCAAGAAATACTATCAACCAACTCTTCTGCTCATGTACAGTGTCTTACCCCAAAAGACAGGAAAGAAGAAACTGAATGATAAATAAGACGTTCTTCCAGTGACTGAATTCAGTGGCCTGGAATGAAAAAGATCCAAGGTGAAGTTAGTGGCAGTTTGGTTTAAAACCAGTTGGCACAGCCTTACAGCTTCGGTGCTGTTGATGTATTAATAATAATTACCCGCTTCTATCAAAGAGATATACAGTAAATATCAATAACTATTTAAACAAGGGCTTATTACACTACTCTCCAAACTTTGGTGTATTTTTTTTTCTTTTTTGGTTTTTTCGAGACAGGGTTTGTCTGTGTAGTTTTGGTGGCTGTCCTGGATCTCGCTCTGTAGCCCAGGCTGGCCTCGAACTCACAGAGATCCGCCTGGCTCTGTCTCCCGAGTGCTGGGATTAAAGGCGTGCGCCACCACCGACTGGCTCGGTGTATGTTTTAAAGTTTCCATTATGAAAAGATTTTATTGTTACTTAAAAAGTGGTTCTCTGATTCCCTATGTGTACCATGGCGTGAGTACACCCACTCCCCCACAATAATAACAAGTGTAGCACGAATCTTAGAAGGTCTTATTAATAAAAAAAACAACTCGGGGCCAGGTATTGGGATGAACGCTGAATGATCAGAGAAACAGAACAAGCCACGGCCACCTCACCTTGCCAGTTCCTCTGCTGATCCTATTTCCTCAGACTGGAAGCCTCTCAGTCCTCATCCAGAATGAATCTCAGCTGAACTGTTGCTCAAAAGCCTAAAAGCTTAACCAGCCAAATGTTTCTAGTTCCTGGTCTTCACGCCTTATATACCTTTCTGCTTTCTGCCATCACTTCCTGGGATTAAAGGCGTGAGTCACCATGCCTGGCTGTTTCCAGTGTGACTTTAAACTCACAGAGAGATGGATCTCTGTCTCCCAAGTGATAAGATTAAAGGTGTGTGCTACCACTGCCTAACCTCTATGTTTAATATTGTGGCTGTTCTGTTCTCTGACCCCAGATAAATTTATTAGGGTGCACAATATTTTGGGAAACACAATATCACCACAAATAATAATAAATGTAATAAATTAAAAACCAAGAGCTAGAAGTATTTATGTGAATAGTGAATAAAAATTATTTACTCCTGACATCACAAACCCAGGGAAGGTTATTTAGTAATATTCTTTAATATATAGATTCTTCACCAGCTTACACTTTAATAGATGTAAGTTTTCTATTATTTCTTTAAGGATGAATTGATAGTGGTAACATTTGAAGAAACAGCATCTACAAAGCATTCTAGATTATGAATCCACTCTTTAAATCCCTCTTTATCAGTTACAACATATTACATATATTTTGGCCCTGCTGTAGGGAAGGTCAAATGAACATCTTCCGAAGACCTGGTTTATTAACACAAGGGATTTTATCTCTGTAGCAGGAATTCTAAAAGGTCTTGTAATAAAAAACCTGGAGCCAGTTATTAGGGTAAATACTAAAAGATCAGAGAGACAAAAGAACAAGCCACTGCTACATCTTACCTCTAGAACTCCTCAGCCTGAAAAGGCTTCAGTTCCTGTCTCCTCACGCCTTATATACCTCTCTCTGCCCAGCCATCACTTCCCTTCTAGTGCTGGGATTAATGGTGTGTGTACTTCCCAAATACTGGGAGAAAGGTGTGAGATCTCAAGTGCTGGGATTGAAGGCATGTGACTCCCAAGTATTGGGATTAAAGGCGTGTGCCAACACTGCCTGGCCTCTATGTTTAATCTAGTGGCTTGTTCTGTTCTCTGATCTTCAGGCAAATTTTATCAGGGTACACAATATATCACATGTCTCTGACTTGATTTCCCAGAGGCAGAATCAAAGCATAGTTAATAATCTACTAACTGTATAAGTCCAAAGTCCAGAACTCACTTCCCAGAATAGTGAGTCACCGAAAACTTTGGCCTTTCCATCTCTTCCAGTCTACTCACTCATTCTTCTTCCTTTAAAGGGGAGTGAATATTTCACTCCATGTTATCCATCAGCTTCCAATGTATTTAACTCAAACTTTATACTGATGTACATGAATTCCTCTTTATCATATTTGGTACAAATTCTAAAACTGATTCAGCCATGGCCCCAAGTGAGCAGCTGAAAGATCTTGGTACAATTCAGTGAACATACAACAGCTATGGAGTGAAAACATGTCATCTCTTCCTGTTAGGGCCACTCTCATTTTCATTACCAATTACAGTGTAGATCGTGTATCTGGTCATCTCTTGTCATACAATACTTAAGGTGTACTCATATTTTATTTTAAGCTTTCTATTACAGTTGTCTGTGCATGTGTGTAAGTGTAGGGCTGACACACAGCACACACATGGCAGTCAGAGGACAACTGGCCGGAATCAGCTCTCTCCATTTGTAATGTGGGTCCTGTGGATGGAACTCGGGGTATCAGGCTTGGCAGCAAGTGCCTTTACCTGCTCAGCCATCTCACCAGCCCAAAAGAGTTGTATTTTAAACATTATAGCTTTAGTATTTTATCAGTTTAGAGAAAATCTCTCAGTCCCCCCTCCCTTTGTGGCAGTGAAGCTCAAACCCACAGCTTGTGCATGCTAGCCAATTTTCTACCATTGAGCTACATCCCCAACCCTAGATATTGTTCTTATGACTTTAAGTATATTTTTCTAATTATGATTTCCTTCTTAATAATTCTATAAAGCTCTTTGGTCTGACAGGAGTTTCAGTGTCTGACAATCACTCAATTCAAAGAGCTCTGTCCAAATCTCCAGAGTTTCAAATTGAAGAGTCCAGACAGGGCAAACAATGGGCATTCCAGCACCACATCAGGAGGCGACATTCTCCTATACTATAAGGACTTAATAAATTACAAATATCTCTCCACCAACAATAGGGCTACCTCCCGATTAACCTATAGAGTGAAAATACATTGAAGTCAAAGATGCATTGAGCACACTCACCCTGACAGACATCATAGCTCAGCCTCTCCTACCTTAACCATGTTCTTTACATAGGCCATACTTACCTTCTGAAAGTCTCCAGTAGAAACACTAATAATGACAGTTGGGATGATCATGAAACAGGCATTGTAGAAAAGCACTCCGTATTTCCCCAGCTCCTGTGAGAATAAGAAAACTGCGTTCAACTTTAGAGATACAAGGCATTGTGTCTCCTGGGCCAATTTGTCTATTTATGTGTATCAGGCTGGCTCTGTGCTGTAAGACTTTTGGCCAATGTCTTGTAAAATAGAACATTTTACTGTGTTGTAACTTCAGAACAAATACTCGTTCTACACCAACTACATATGTAATGGATGGAAACAGAAGGCCTCTGATGTTCTACCCATCTCTAACACTCCACTCTTAAGCACATTATTCAAAATAGGAAATCTGAAATGAGATAATGAAAATTTAAAATGTTAACCAACTCTTTGCAAACATCTGCTCCATCCATTACAGAATAGCAGCCTTCTGTGTTTGCTTTCACTAAAGTGGCCACCCACTTCTCTGCCAAAAAAGGGTGACATATTGTATTTTCAGGAAGGCAATGAACCTGTTGTTGTAAAACTGTCACTATTCAAAGAAACAAATGGGCATACAGATTTTAAAAATAGCTCACAAAAAAGCACCCATCAGTCAAGCAGAACTCCCTCACAAAGCACAAAGAACTCAGAACAAAGACCCATATGCCTGGGCCACGCCAGACAGCTTCTGGTCACAGCTGGGGTGGGTGAGGGCTGGGGGCAGCACACCAGGCAGCCCCAACAGCTTGCAATCAGAAGAGGTGGCTACCACTGGAGGACATGACAAATGACCATCCAGCCATCTCACTTCATGATGAGGAAACAAGTTTGGAGAATTGAAGGTTTAAAGGTGGAATGGCCTATGAGTTACCAAAGCTTGTGCCTGGAAACCTACATCCCAGACTAATGCTCTTGGAGCTAATACCATGACACCAGCACTCCTTCTGAATTTGTCATGGTCATTAATGATGCTGCTTTAAAAAATGAATTTGCTCTTCCAAATATATATATATATATATATATATATATATATATATATATATATATATATATATATATATATTCTGATTGTACATCTAAACTAGTGATATCTTTTCCTCCCTAAGTAACTTCCAATCAAACTTTGACAATACCAAGAATAACAGGGTCTTATACACACAAGATAAGTAAGAAGAAATTAGTAGTTTCTACATCGCAGGATATGCATCAAGTTACATGCCAACTGAACACGTTCGTTTTCATTTTTCATGTCATTTCAGGAGCCAGATGGCACAGGCAAAAAGTTGCAGGAGGGAAGCTAGGTACCTTTGGGTCCATTTTCTGTTTGGTATAAACTCCATTTGCTGCTGTGAAGATATCATTCAAGAATACAAAGATGTAGCCTTCCAAATTGAATGCAAGGTCAGAGCTGGCAGGGAGAACAGGAAGGGGAGGCCATTATAAAGACGCTCTCACTGTGGCCTTAGAGCCTGCTTGCTAGTCCTTTGTCTAGCCAAATCTGTGTGCAGTGCTAGTACCATCTTTTCTGGGGAAATTATCCTCCCACTAGTAGTGAGTTGTTAATGCCTCTGATTTCTCCCAGACGGGAGAGAACAAGACAGATGATCAGGTGACCTCACTTAGCTCAGGGACCCAGGGACCTGAACTGTCTTAACTGCAAAATTCTTTATTTGTTAAATGACAGGTTGGCACAGTAAGTAGTGAGCTGTGACTGTCCTGAGGGCATGCTTTGCCCACCCACCAATATCCCTGCTTATTATAAGCATGGCCATCCCCAGGGTACAGCTCATGTTAGACAGCTGGGAAATGACACCTCCATCTGGTGCCCAGACAGTCCCTTGTCTGTCAAAAGGTGAAGCAAGGACCTATGTGCCTACGCAAACCTTCCAATGCTCCTTTCTTCCAGGACTTTGAAGCACCTCAGCAATTTCCATCCTAAATAAATAGCACCAACATAAAAATGTGAGGGGATATGACAGGGATGAGGCAGATAACCATAACTGATATGTGATGTGATTCACCTATCTGCACTTCCTGCTCACCACAGACCCAGGTTATAATTCATAATATAAACTGTCAGAAGTCAAACCTTTCATATATCCGCTTAGGATGAGTACTTGGGGCTTGTGAATATAGTTAACTAGCTAGCTGGTTACTTGGTTATTACTGAAACAAGGTTTCACTACATTTGCCCAGGAGGATCTGCAACTCAGACAATACTCCTTTGTAGATATCTACCCTTGTAGTAGATAATACCACAGGCAAGTAACGTTGCTTATCACTGGTTGTGGACTGCTAATTTAATGAACAAGTAAAAAGGAATATAAATTGTATCACTATTTTTTCATGCACAGTAATTCACAGAAAAATGAAACTCAAAGCAGTTGGACACTGAGATTTACGTAACATTTTAGCAAAGAAAAGTGTCCAGAACCAAACTAGGACCTAGCAGGAAACACACGAGGAAGCACCGGCAGGGAAAGGCTATTTTAGAGTTGAATTATGCAGACTCATCTCAGTGTCAACTGTCTGTGTCCAGCAGCAGAAGTGGCCGCTCTTGTTGGTCACTTGCACAAAGAGAGGCTATGCGCTGTTGTCAGGCACAAAGACAGCAAAGCCTCCTTGCATCTCTCGGTTCTCAGTGACCTTTAACTTCAGAACAACCCTGATACCAAAGCAGCATGTTTTGGTTAATCAATCTATGTCATTTTGGAGGCTTCCTGTTCATAAATGCTGCCTGCAGGAAATGCTGGAGGGAGCTGAGTCTATACTGGTTCTGTGGGCTACTGGGTTTGCAAATGATGTTCACTGAACAGAACTATTAAATTCAACTTGTCTATGGTTTTCCTTTGGGGGCTGGACAGGTAGTTCTATTGGCATTTGTCACACACACACAAGGATCTGAATCTAATCCTCAGAATCCACATTAAAAACACTTCCGAGCCAGGTGGTAGTGGCACACGCCTTTAATCCCAGCACTCGGGAGGCAGAGGCAAGCGGATCTCTGTGAGTTGGAGATCAGCCTGGTCTACAGAGCTAGTTCCAGGACAGCTAGGGCTACACAGAGAAACCCTGTCTTGAAAAAAACTTTAAAAAGAGAAGGGGAGACAGAAGGATCCCTAGGACTCTCTGGCCAGCCAGCCTAACTAAATCAGTAAATTCCAAGTCAGTGAGAAACTCTGTCTCAAGAAATGAAATGGACAACTCTTGAGGAATGATGTTGACCTCTGGCCTGCACATACACAAGTGCACATACACATACTTCCATATACACATGAATACAGCACATACATATGAAATATTTTAGCAAAACAACTAAACTCTAATTTTGAATGAGCAGGAAAACTGAGGCTTCTAGAGGCATGGGAAAAAGGCACTTCCTGGGAGAGCTTTAGATTCCAGAGTCCTGCCTCCTCTAGGATCCAAGAATGCCCAATAGTGTCATGGGAACTCCTTGAAGCATGGCCTGCTTCATTCTTACCCATCATTCACTGGACCAGCAGTGAGAACGAAGTGTATGAAGAATACAAATGCCATACAAAATAGAGCATATTCAGGGTCAGCCAGTGTGGCTGTCATTTGGGGCATCCCTAGATATTCTCTTTCCAGCCATGTGGCTTCCCTGGGTGAATGAGATATAAGAAGGGGGGATACATGTCCCTTCTGGGCAAAAGTTTTATGAGTCAGTGCAGAAATCCCCATAACACCTTTTCTTTCCTGGATCACTGAGGAAAACTGAGGTAGGACCTCTTGGCTGGGTCCCTGGGTTCAATAAATAGAACTCACTCATAAGCACTAACTGCTGTAGGTTTACAGTCAAGGAAGTGTATATATGATGTAGAGAAACAGTGAAACGTTGGGCTTGTTTATTATAGCAGGTGAACCTGGCTCATCCCAACTAAATCTGATCAACAACTATTTGCACAGGGGTTGGCTAACTTTGGTAGACAGGAAGTTATCTCTTGAAGGGATTGATCAAAGGCACCAAAAATAGGACACATAGAACAGTAGTTGGGCCTGCTCAGGGCCCTGGAACAGCATGTGGTGGTTGGCTGATGGTTATGATATGAAGATACTTCAGACAGGCCAGCTCGGCTTCCCAAAGCAGGATGTAAACAACAATGGGTGGTAGTAGGCCAAACTAGCTTGGTCAAGTCAAAGTTATTTCAGGAACTTTCTTACCAAGAAACATGTGCAGAGTGCTGGTACCCTTTCCCCTAGAGAACTTTTCACCTTTGGGGGTAATTAAACCCCATACACACTCTTGCATCTTTTTTTTTATTAAAATTTTTATAAGTGTATTTCACTTGCATGTATGTATGTGCACCATGTATGTACCTGGTACCCAAGGAGGTCAGAAGAGAGCATCGGATCCCTTGGAACTAGAGTCATGGATAGTTGTGAGCCACCATGTAGGTGCCAGGAACTGAACCTGGGTCCTCTTGACCACTGGGCTATCCCTACTCTTGAATCTTATACATCTATTTGTAACAGACTGAATTCTGGGTAAACTGGGCTTCCAAAAAAGCATGCCCCTTCTTGAAAGGGCTTACCCTGGGGTAGACACAAGGGAAGGAAGTACAGGAAGAGAAGGGGAAGCTGTAGACCTGCTAGGAGTATCTCCTGATTCCTCACTTGCTCTAATTAAACTGTTAAGTGCTTGACCTGCCACTGTATGCTATTTAATTCTCTTTCTGGAGCACAATGATGCACAGAGCTGATGTGGGGGCAGAGGAAACTTCAGTAGGAGGGCTTCAGTTGGTGTCACAGGTGTCCTGTGGCTCAGCATCCTGAATGTCACTCATCAGGAAGGGATCCAACTGGTGAATGCTGGAGGAAGTGGAAAGTCAGAATTGCTACTCCAAGCTGGTTCTTGGGTAAAAGCAAGATGATTTTAGAAACAATTATCAATGTGCTCAAAATTAGTTGAACTCATTTGGGTTCTGCACTCCTCACTAAAGACTTACAAACTCACGTGTGCACAAGTGTGTACTGACGTGCATGCACATATGTATGCTGGTGTGCATGGAGGCCAGAGGTTGATGTCACTCACATGTCTCCCTTGGTCACTATCCACCTTATTTTTTGAAACAGGGTCTCTTCACTGAACCTTAGACTCACCATTTTGGATACACTAGCTGGCCAAGTGAGTCTTAGAGACCTATTTGTCTCCACAAGTCAGTACTGGGGGTACAAGTATGTGCTACTATTCCTGGCTTCTCTCCTTTTTTTAAACATGATGTGGGGTTACATACATAGAAGGACAGACAGTCATTTCCTCCTGCTCTGCTTCTACATATTAATGATGTAGGAAATCTGAACTAGTTAGCATTAGCCTATTCCGGAACATATCAGCATTTGTAATGACCACTCTATCAGTTATTACAGAACAATAAAACAACAATAACTGGGTTTATAAACCTGTTGGCTTGTTTTAGGTGTGTGTGTGTGTGTGTGTGTGTGTGTGTGTGTGTGTGTGTGTGTGTGTGTATTGGATGCTGTGGAGTGAACACGGGCCTTAGTGCATGCTAAGTACACATTCTACCACTGAGCTACACCTCAAGCCCAGATGCCTAAGAACACTTCAAATAAAACTTTTAAATTGAGGGCATTCAATCACAAGAGTAAACAGGTCGCCGGGCGGTAGTGGTGCACGCCTTTAATCCCAGCACTTGGGAGGCAAGAGGCAGGCGGATCTCTGTGAGTTCGAGGCCAGCCTGGTCTACAGAGCGAGATCCAGGAAAGGCGCAAAGCTACACAGAGAAACCTTGTCTTGAAAAACCAAAAAAAAAAAAAGAGTAAACAGGTCACTGCTTTTTGTCAACGGTAGTCATGTTAATACCCAGTGATGCTTACTTATAACAGGACACTGTCATTTACAGAATTTATACTCAAGACCTACACAATTGAATTACAAAGGAAAAAAAATCACCAAAAAAATCTCATAATAGTTTAAGTTGTGTTGGGCCACTTTGGTAACTACCCTTATCCCCATGGGCCACAGTTAGACATGCCTGCATGTGTTCTTAGAAGCATTTCCAGTCAATCTGAAACCTACTTTTTGATGCTCACAGGAACACATGGGGTTGCCACTAACTCAACAGATTTGTCTCCTAGCTGCTCAATCCAGCTGCAGCCAGATGAAAAAAGAACATCTCTAGGACAGGACTGCCAACCCTCAAAGACACAGAGAAGCCACTGAGCAGCAGGGTAGTGCCAAGTCTCACCCAGCTGCTATGAAAGCCCCAAGCATGATGGCCAAAACACTGAGGACGATGTTCAAGGAATATTGTTTCCTGTAGTAAAGAAAAAAGAAAGGGAAGGGGTGGGGAGAAAAAAAATTAAAATATGGATTTTATGTTTTTTTAAAAAAAAAAAAAAACCTGAAAACAAACATTAGTGGCTTCATGACTAAAACTTAACTTCTAAGATCTTCATATAGAGAAGGGTCTGGAAGTGTAAGTCAGGCCAAATTTACTTATTTCTTAAGCTGTTTCTTTAACCTAATTATAAAGTGATTTTTCTGTTCTCCCTGGAAAAATGCTGAGATGAAATACAGAAGAGGGTCTGCTGCACAGTCTAGTTTACAGGGCCTTCTACGGCACATTCAAAGATTAAGTCCAATATGAAGGCTTAAAACACTGTAACTAGCCGGGCGGTGGTGGCGCACGCCTTTAATCCCAGCACTCGGGAGGCAGAGCCAGGCGGATCTCTGTGAGTTCGAGGCCAGCCTGGTCTCCAAAGCGAGTTCCAGGAAAGGCGCAAAGCTACACAGAGAAACCCTGTCTCGAAAAACCAAAAAAAAAAAAAAAAAAAACCACTGTAACTAAATTTCACTGCCATACAATCTTCGCTGCAAGATAAAAATTTGAATTTTCAGGGGTCAGCCTGTGTATCCTGAGAAAAATCTATGTCAACATTTGTAAAATTTTAATTTATTCTGACATCATGTCATGGAGCATCAGAACTCTGTCCCCTTGCTCTTCTGTCTGCCTTCCCTGTCTGTGGGCAGTTCTCTGTCACTATTCATTCCATCCAGTTCAGCACACAGATTCATATCTGTTTAAGGGTGGTTGTTATTTCTTTTATAATTTTCTACTACAAGCATGCTATTTGTCTGCTGTAAAAATAAACATTTAAATAGTACTCATTAATATTTTAGGAGACCATGGAAACAGTTGACTCCTTTTAAATGAACAAATAATTGTTCCTTAAGTTGCTGCAAGTATTAATTCCAATCAATTATTCAGAAAGAGGACCTCAAGGTGAGAATTTGTTGGTTAAAAATAACACAGAGGGACTGGGGACACGGCTCAGTGGGAAACAAGCATCAAGTCTGACAATGTGAGTTCAGAACTCCAGGACTCATGAAAATCTGGGCAGAATGGCACAAGCTGAGGAGGCAGAGACAGGCAGACCCCGGAGCTTGCTGGCCCCCTTCTAGCCAAAAGGTGAACTCCATGTTCAGTAAGAGGCCCTGTCTGAAACAATAGAGGAGAGCAACTGCGAGAAATACAGGACATCAACCCATGTCTTCTATGTGCACATTCACAGCCTCACACACCCACATGGAATACACAGGAACACATTACCCACCCACACAAACAAACACAGTATGTCGGAAACATAATGAAGGAAAGAAGAAAAAACAAACTCACCCGAGTATGATGGCTTCCAGGAGTAAAGTGAGTGGAATTGTAAACTTCCTGAGCACAGTGAACATTGGCAAGCTGTCAAGAAAGATTCAACTCTAACATCAGACACACAGTGTCAGTTACTACTTTTATTTTAAACATGGCAAACATTTTTAATTAAGGTCATTTTCCAAATTAAATATAATGAGTTAACATTCATTGTAATATTTACCATGAACAAATCATATTGAGTCATAAAATAGAGATTGAATAATTTCCTGCCACTTTAACAAACTGATTCAGCACAAAATCTGTCAAATCTTAGCTGGCTTTCCTTTTCTCTGCAGAAACTGGCAAGTTAATTCCATTAATATAGAAATTCAAGGGCCCCAGAAAGCCAAAACCGTGTTGAAGAATAACAAAGTCAAGGGGCTGAAGAGACGGCTCAGTGGTCAAGAGCACTGGCTGCTCTTCAGAGGACACAGGTTCAGTTCCCAGCTCCCACATGGAGGCTCACAACCACCTGTAACTCCAGTTCCAGGGATCTGACGCCCTCTTCTGGTCTTCATGGGCACTGAACTCACACACACACAAACACATGCAGAGAGAGAGAGAGAGAGAGAGAGAGAGAGAGAGAGAGAGAGAGAGAGAGAGAGAGAGAGATTTTTTTAATGTTTTTAAAAAATTTTTCAAAGTGGGTGCACTCACATTTCCCAACTTCAAAATTTGCTACAAAGCTGCAGAAGCCAAGACCACCTGTTATTGATGTAATAATATATATGTAATTAACATATATGTAATTAGTGGAATTAATTGTTGAGTTAATAATATATATGTAATTAATACATGTAATTAATGGAACAGAATTGAAGGACAGAAAATAAAGACTTACAATTACGGTCAGTTGTCTTTCTTTTATCTTGTTTCCTTTTATTTTCTTTCCTGCATACCTACATCACTATAATCTATTTCAGGAACTCCATTCCCGCAAGCAGGAACTTTGAACCTGCTCAACAGTAATTCCTTTTCTCTTAGCTCCTAGCTACTGGTTATCTATTCTGTGGTCCATCTTTGTACACTTGCCTACTCTAGACATGTGAAGCAGACAAGTGCAGCCCAGGCTAGCATAGAACTTGTGGTCCTCCTGACTCTGCCTCCTAAATAGAACAATTACAGGCATGAAACATCTCCCAGATCAATAGATTGATTTTTGCCAAGGGTCATGAGATAGCACAATGGAAGAAAGAAATACCTTTTCAATGGATGGTGGTAGGACATCTAGAACTCCCATGAATAGAATGAAACTGAATTCCTACACACATTATTCTACACACACACACACACACAGAGAGAGAGAGAGAGAGAGAGAGAGAGAGAGAGAGAGAGAGAGAGGACATCAACCTTATATATTTATTATCTGACATGAAATATAACTGTATGAGAAAGAGATCATGATCCTAGATCAAGCAAGCCTTCTTAGATACAATACTAACAACATAGTCAGCAAAAGAAAAGACGGGCTAGGGATGTAGCTCAGTGGTGGAATACTTCTGTAGCATATACAAGGCCATGAGTTCAATCCCCAGAACTACAAAAATAAAAAAGAAACAATATCTAAATTAGAAATAATAAAAATTTAAAACTTTGGTGTTTTATGTTTATTAATGATAAACAGGATATACACATAAAATGGAATATTATTAAGCCTTTAAAATAAATGGAAGTCAGATGCATTCTACAACATAGGTGAACTCTGAAAATACCATGCTATAGGAATAATTCAGATCCCCACCCCCCAAAAAGGGAAAATTCTTTATATCTACCTAGAGAAGGCAAAGCTACAGCTGCAGAACGTAAAACAGAGATTACCAGTAGCTGGGGATTGCTCAGTGGGTCAGAGAACCCTTGCTGTACCAGCAGGAGGAGCTGAGTTCAAATCCCCAGGATCTACATATAAAGTTAGGCATGGCTGTATGTGCCTTAACCTCAGCATTGGGCAGGAGAGATCAGTAGATGCCAGAAGCTTGCTTGCCAACTAGCCTCACCAACAAGGTGAGCTTCCAATTTAGTGAAAGACCCTGTCTCAAAGGAATAAGATGGAGAATGACGAAGGGAACCCAACATCCCACTCTGGCCTCCTCATGGGCACACACACCACATGCAAACTCACATGCCTGCAACGCATAAGTGAGGGAGAGGTGGAGGGAGGGAGAAGGAAAGTGAAAGGAAGAGGTTGGGGGACTGAGAAATTGAGATTATTAATAACTAAAGGCTAAGAGGATTACTGTTTAATGGATTCAGAGACTCTGGGATGATGGAAAAGTTTCTGAAATAAATAATGGTAATGCTACACTGTACATATACTTTTTTAGAGATAGGGTCTAGCCTCAAACTCATTATGTAGTAGTCTGGCCTTGAAGGCTCAGCAATCATGCTTCAGCCTCCCAAATGCTAGGATTGCACATGGATGTGAGTATACTTAATGCACTTGAATTGTACACTTAAAACAGACACATGATAAACTTTATATTATATACACGACTTAAATTAGACAGACTTTAAAATTTTGATGCTTCAAAGTACATTGTTAAGAAAATAAAAAAAAAAAAGAGGGGCTAGAAGATGGCTCAGTAGGTAGAGTGTCTGCCACAAAACCATGAGGTCCCCAGTCTGGTTCTCTAGCATGCCCAGGTATGGGCATCTGTAAACGGAGTGCTGGGGACAGGGACACGAGAATCCCTGGGACTTGCTGGCCAGCTGGTCTGGCCAATCTGTGATCTCCAGGCTCAGGGAAAGACCCTATCTCCAAAGGTAAGATGGAGAGCAATAGAGGAAAAACGTGTCTCTCCTGTAGTTTCTTTTCCTGTTGCTGTGAAAAAGACCTTTACAAAAGCAACTTAAGGAATGAGGGGTTGATTCTGGCTCACAGTTCAAGAGCACAGTCCATCATGGCGGGGGAAGTCAAAATGGCCAGAGCCTTGGGCAGCACATCACAGGATAACCAGGAGGCAGAACCATGAATGCTGGTGCTCAGTTCAGCTTCCCCAGTCACACAGTCTAGGACCCCAGCCCAGGGAATGGTAACCTAATCAGCACTGCTCCCCAGACCTTCTCAGAGGCTAACCCTAACCTAGACAGTCCCTCACAGTGCCTGAGGCTTGTCTCTTATGTCAGTCAGGTTGACAACACTACTCACAACTCCCAAGGGCAACTTCTGGCCTGCACACATGCACACACACGCACACACCATCTTTCAGCTTTTGCACAAGTCTTGTTTCTTTAGATATCAGATCACACTTTCCAGTTGGTAGTTTGGTAGGATAGTGTGGTCTTTCTATAAATGATTTTCATTTTTCACAGTAGCTTTTAATGAAATTAATCAAAGTATGGTGAAATAAATACAGATGCACACTTGTCAAGCATAGTCCATACCTATAACTATTGTGTTATTCACTTTTTTCCTTACACCAAACATGATCTACAATAAGTCTGACAGAATATTCCTGTTTCTATTAAACGACAATGAAGTTAGCATGATCATATGAACAAACCCATCCTGGCAATCACATCTTCTCCACCTGACAAACACAAACCTCATATTTATGTTGAGACATGACTATCAAGAAAAGAATAAGCTTTTAAACATTCCTAAAAACATTTCAAATTAAACTCTAAACTATACTTTCTCAAATTGTTAAATACTATTGTTTCCTACATGGCACCTATGATGTCAGAGCTTGCTGTCAAACTGACCTACCTGGGAAGAGGAACCGCCTCCATCAGAATGGCCTTGAAGGCATGTCTGTGTGGCATTTTCTTGATTGTTAATTGGTGTAGGACCCAGTCAAGTGTGGGCAGTGCAATGCCCAGGAAGAAAAGCAGCTGAGCAAGCCAGAGGAAGCATGCCAGTAAGCAGTATTACTCTGAGATCTCTGCTTCAGTTCATGCCCTGCCTTCCCTCAATAGAAGGTAACCTGAAAGCTAAAATAAACCTTTTCCTGCCCAAGCTGGTTTTTGCCATAGTGTTTATCACAGAAACAGAAAGCAAACTAGGACACCACCAAAGCAAAATCTCAGAACACCAAACTCAGTGTTTGAACCACGGGAGGCGATGGATACACCCTCCCCACTGTCATCTTCAACTGTACCTTAATTTACTTGTGCTTGACAAGCCACTTATATGGTTTCCAACGTAGAGAAGGGGCAGAGGAAACAGCTTCAACAAAAGGGAAAAGATGCAGTTAGAACTGTATTTGTGTCTTTTCTGTATGTATGTATGTATGTATGTATGTTAGGTGTGTAAGTGTTCTGAGACAGCAAGAGACAGATGAGTGACCATCTCCCACCTGCACTAAGCAACCCCATAACTAATACAGCTCTCTTTGGTCCGCAAGGAAAGGAGGGCCTGAAGCCAGAACTGCTGGGTCAAGCCTTGCTAAGACTCCTCGATCTGTCTCTCACTATGAGAGACAATAAAAAGTTTACTGTTTTGAGCCATTACGTTATACAGCAAAGAGTAAATGGCACACCCCCAAAAGCCCAGGGAACCCTACTTCATGATGAAATACTTAAACCCTTACTTTGAGACCAAAGATGCCATTTCTATCAACATGTGCCACACAGCAAAGAAGGTAAAAGATATGAAAATTAGGTTGTTGGGGAGTAATTTTGATTGGATAACTTGAGTCTACATACAAAAAAAGAAAAAAACATGGCTAATAAAGCATCGTTAAAGCTCCTTATTTTGCACACTGTGAACTGAAGTTCCCAAAAGTGTTGAGGAAGGCAGGGAGATGGGGAGGGAAGGAGGTGGGAAAGGAAGGTAGGAGAAGCTGCCTTTGTGTGGAAGGTTCTAGAAGGCCAAGTAGGGAAACTTCAAGATTATGGAGAATTAAAACATTGCAGACAAGAGACAAATTATCTTGGGCTATTTTTAGTCCCTTTGAAAGCTATCTACCACCCAGCCCTGTATCTGACCCAATATCCTATGATTATCGACTATAAATATATATGAAGAAGCTATTCAAGGGCCTCACCCTTAAGAAATGCCAACTAAACCTCTTAATCCAAATACTGCCGTAAGCTATTTCATATAATCTGTCAAAGGATTGTTCTAAGAATTTAATGTCTGCTACAAGCCTGGCCCCCTGCAGCTATTTGTTTTTTTTGCCTCCACTCCACATTCCCACAAGGAAGATAGATCTTTCAATGCTGCTTCCATGTGTATCAAATATATCAAGTCAAATTCTTTACTCATAGCTTTTATCAATTTAAACTAAAAATGAAAGCCGGGAGTGTTGTCGAACACCTTTAATCCCAATACTTGGGAGGCAGAGATGGTTGGATCTCTGTGAGTTCAAGGCCAGCCTGGTTTACAAATCAAGTTCCAGGACAGTCGGGGCTCTGTTACACTGAGAAATCCTATGTCAAAAAACCAAAACAAAAAACAAACAAAAATGAAATCTGAAAGCATAAATCAGTAAACTAGGACCCAGGGCACATCTGGCCTGTGCTTGTTTATATAAAGTTTTATTGTAACATAACTTCACTGATTCATTTATGTATCACACAGGGCTTCTTTCATGTTACAATAAAGAGAGAGCCAGGCCCTTAGCCAAAGAGTTCACAAAACATTGGCCTTAAAAACTCAGAGTATTTGTGCTGTTAAAAACCTATATTCGGAGCTGGAGAGATGGCTCAGAGGTTAAGAACACTGACTACTCTTCCAGAGGTCCTGAGTTCAATTCCCAGCAACCACATGGTGGCTCACAACCATCTGTAATGACATCTGGTGCCCCCTTCTGGCCTGCAGGCATACATGCAGGCAGAACACTGTATACAAAATAAATAAATGAATCTTAAAAACAAAACAAAACAAAACCTATATTCACCCTTTTCTCTGCCTCCCACCTCGATGCACGTGTGCTGAGGCAGGCCTCACACAGGTGCAAGGGCTCCAAGTTCAGGTCTCACACTTACTCAGCAAGCACTTTACTCACTTATAGATCTCACACGCACAGCACAGCCATGGTGTTGGGGTTTATCTTCATTGCATTATACAAATAACTATTTATTTATAAAATATTTATTAAGAATTTTTTCATCCAGGTGGGAGTGGTGCACACTTTCAATCCCAGCACTTGGGCGGCAGAGGCAGGCGGATCTCTGTGAGTTTAAGGGCAGCTTGGTCTACAGAGTGAGATCCAGGGCAGCCAGAGCTGTTACACAGAGAAATTTAGGCTCAAACACACACACACACACACACACACAGAACTTTTTCTTCCAGCACTGAGGAGGCTGAAGTAGAAGGATTTTGAGTTCAAAGCCAACCTGGGATACATGATAAGAGCCAATCTCAAAGAAGAAAAGAAAAGAAAAACAACTTTCTACTGAGGGTAAGCAGTGTATGGAACGGGTCCCTGCTTTGGATTTTTTTGTTTGTTTGTTTGCTTGCTTGCTTTTTGTTTTTTAGGGTTTTTTTCTATTTGTCTGTTTTTTATCTTTCAACACATACCTTTCCAGGGATTTTCTTGTCAAAATCAGGGAAGTGGATTATTTTATTTAGCTTGGACACATACAGTATCATTATGGTGGTGGCCATCTAAAAGGAGAAAGAAACTTAGCAAAATATCATCTGGAAAGACAGTATGAGGTATCCTGACGTAATGATGTAATCAGAAGCATATTTATCAGAAAGATAACCCAAACAATCCACTTTCCAGGCTGGAGGGAGGGATTTCGTGGAAGGTAAAACTCTCACCACTGGATGAGATGTTGTTCAAATCAGAACAGGCAAAATGTATAATCAAGTGGACTCACATGTATACATTGTCTCAGGGGCTCTAGAAATGGTGATGGAGAAAATGAAGAGTGCCCCTGAGAGAGACCAGACTGACCAGATGACCCCAGACATTTCACACAGAGCGTATGATCTGTTAGCTTCTCCCCTTAAAGGCCAGTGAGAGGAAACAATTTTTAAAAAGGAAAAACTCCTAAGCAGGCATGGTAACACACATCTTTAATCCCAGGAGAAGCAGGTGGCTCTCTGTGAGTTTGAGGCTAGCCTGGTCTACATAGTGAGTTCCAGGACAACAATGGCTCCATAAAGAGACCCTGTCTCAAAAGGGTGTGAGAAGGTACTGACTCTTCTCACAATAACATTTAAAGATATGAAAACAGACCGGGACTTTTTGAAAGAAGAAGGGGAGAGGGTGTATTGAAAGTGAATAAGATTAAAATTCATTATACACACTGAAAATATCATGAGACTCATTATTTTGTACAATACATACAAGCTAATAAAAATGTCCTAAGAAAAGTCAACATGCATTTTTTGAGAAGTCCAGCATTAAGATTTTTCTTCTCAGGGCCTGGAAAGATGGTTCAGCACCTGCTGCTCTTCTGGAGGACCCGAGTTTAGTTCCCAGCACCCAAGTCCCCGCTTCAGGTGGCTCAAAACTCCCTGGAACTTCTGGCCTTTTGGCACTTGTGTTCACACCTATATATCCACACATAAACACACACAAACATACAGAATTAAAAATAAAATAAATCTCAGCCAGTCATAGTGGCACGCACCTTTAATTCCAGCACTCTGGAGGCAGAGGCAGGCTGATCTCTGGGAGTTCAAAGCCAGCCAGGTCTATATAGTGAGTTCCAGACCAGCCAGGGCTATATTGTAAGACCTTGTCTCAAAAAATAATAAATAAATAAAATGAGTTAAATCTTTAAAAAGATTTTCTTTTCAATGTAGACAGCACAACCAAATTGTCTCATTTAAACCCTAGAAGTGGGAGCCTGAGAGCTGGCTCAGCAGTTAAGAGCACTTGCTGCTTTTGCAGAGAACCTAAATTTGTTTCCCATCACCCATGTCGTGTGGCTAACAACCACCAGGAGCCAGTTGTAAGGAATCCAGTGCCCTCTTCTAGACTCCATGGACAGCTGCACTCATGTGAACATACCCACCCAGATCACAGACACACACACAATTTGAAAATAGTAAAAATAAGTCTTTACACTCTTACAAATTTAGAACATGATAGGTATATTGGAAATAGTCCATCATGTTGTTTTGAAATAAAGTCTTCATCTCTTGTGCAAATTTTAGAACTTATTTAATTTTCTTCATATGAGAACGCAAAAGTTTAAGAACTGCTCCAATATAGTATCCTAAACCTTGGTTCTCATTTATTTGTGAAGGGGTGCTGGTGTGCCACAGCATGTGTGCACAGATCAAAAACAACTTGTGCTAACCATAGTCTTAAACAAAAGCTCTTAAAATAGCCTATACACTGACAGCTAGTTAAGACTTTGATTTTTTTTTTTTAACTCACCTGCCCAATTCCAAGAACAATTGGTGAGGGAAAACTGCAAGAAATAAAGAATAACAAATCAGTTTAGCAACATAAAGTTGAAGAGAATATGTAAAATGTAATGACATAAAGAGCTATTACCGACATTAGACAAATGGAACTTCAAAAATAGGTCCATTTCTTTTTCATTTTTAAAAAACTGATGGCTGGGCTGGAGAGATGGTTCAGAGGTTAAGGGCACTGACTGCTCTTCCAGAGGTCCTGAGTTCAATTCCCAGCAACCACATGGTGGCTCATAACCACCTATAATGAGATCTATTGCCATCTTCTGGCCTGCAGGGACACATGCTAGCAGAACACTGTATACATATAAATAAATAAATCTTAAAAAAAACAAAAACAAAAACAAGAAATCTGATGGCTGCTGCAGAGTGGTGGTGCACGCCTTTAATCCCAGCTCTCAGAAGGCAGAGGCAGGCAGATCTCTGTGAAGCTTGAGGCCAGCCTGGTCTACAGAGCAAGTTCCAGAACAGCCACGGCTGCTACAAAGAGAAACCCTGTCTTGAAAAACAACAACAACAAATGATGGTTGTTAAAATTGGCAGTTTTCCTTCATTCTGTGATGGTAAATTAGGCATAATTGTGTATACAAGGGAATAAAACAGAATAATAAATAATTAAAGTTAATAAAAATAAAATTTAAAATACCATAAACAAGATGACCTCTTGTGGTAGTTTGAATAAGAATGGACCCCACAGGGTCATATATTTGAATGCTTAAGTCACCAGGGAGTGGCACTATTTGAAAGAATTAAAAGGATTAGGAGGTGTGCCCTTGTTAAAGGAAGTATGTCACTGGGGGTGGGCTTTGAGGTTTCAAAAGCCCATGCCAGGCCCAGTTTCTGTCTCTCTCTGCCTGTGGATCAGGATGTAGAACTCTCAGCTCCTTCTCCAGCACCATGTCTGCCTGTATGCCGCCATGTGATAATGGACTAAACCTCTGAAACTGTAAGCCAGCCCCAATTAAATAAATGCTTTCCTGTGTAAGAGTTGCCATTTCACAGCAATGGAACACTGACTAAGACATCTCTACATAGAAAACCAAACTGAAGTTAAGTTAAAGAAGAAACAAGTCTGTTGATGCAGGCAGGCCTGTTACCTTGGCTAACTGCAGAGTTAGGCAGAAGTGTTCCAAGTTCAAGGCCAGCCTAAGCAAGTTAGTGAGACCCTGCTCCAAAGAAAGAAAAACAAGGGGCTAGAGACATAGCTCAGTGATTAAAAGCCCTTTCTGCTCTTCCAAGGGACCCAAGTTCGGTTCCCAGCACCCATGTGGGCAGCTCACAGGCACCTACAATTCCATTTCCAGAGCCACAGCACTCATGTATACAGACACATACATATACACATATTTAGAATAAGAAAAATAAACCTTTAGAAAAAGTAGGCAGGCAGATAAGCATGTAACCCTTAAAAAGTTAAATAAGATGCCCCCCCATTTCTTTCTGGATTAAAGAACATTTAGAAATAAATAAGAAAAGAATTAGTACTAATAAGATGCATTTTTGCAAGATGTAATTTAACCTATATGTCTGTCTCCATCTATAATACATTTATACCTGTTTATTCATCCCTCCATTCAAATCTGAAAGTATTCTGATAGTTATGGTAATTTTAAAAGTGGTTTCAGTCTAATTGTTTTCTTTCGTTTGAATTCTTTTATTTAAATGATCATGACAGAATCCCCTTCTAAAAAGCCAAAACAACAAAATAAACATTTAAGAAAAATGCTCTCAGTTGCCAGTCTGTGGCTCATTCTTACTTTGTTCATTTCTGAAGGTTTTAGTTTCAGGGAACTGCTTGTTATTGAAGCAGCTTCCCTGTGTTGTCCAGGCTACCCTTGAACTCTCAGACTTGAGAAAGACAGGTGCCATCAGATTCAGTTCATCAATTTGAATTTTGTGGGGTCAAAGGCATGGGCCCAAGAGTCTGACTGAGCTGGTGAGATGGCTCAGTGGATTAAGCACCTGCTGGGCAAACATAAAGACCTGAGTTTGGATTGCCAGTACCCATGTAAAAAGTCAGGGACTGCACCCACACCTGTAATCTCAGCACTGAGGCAGAGACAGGATTCCTGAAGCTTGCTGACCAGCCACAATAGTCAATCAGCCATCTCCAATGAGATCCTGTCTGAAAAGGTGGAAATTGACTGAAGATACCCGATTGTGTATGTGCACATATGTCCAAGGTCTCTGGTGAATCACAAAGCAAACACATACAGCAAGTTCTGAGCACATATTTGTTGAACTGGATAAAATAAATTTGACTTTTTTAAGACAAGGGCACCCTACATTATATAGCTGAGATGGTCCTCAAACTTAGCAACTTTCCTGCCTCACTTCCTGAGTACTGATATTACAGAATATTCAATAATTTTAATTAAATGTCATTAGTAAATTTTCATGTCATAGAGAAGAGTATTAATGGGAAACACGGCAGAAGTCTGCTGTACAACCCTGATGATCACAACTGTGGCCAGTTGGCCACAGACTACTAGAACACAAACTCCTAGACGGTCCTACTTTTGTCTAGCCCTTGAAAACCACTGCGTTCACAGGCTCACAGAATCTCTTTCCTGCCAGGTAAATTTAGCCTTAGAATTGTCCTGGCCTCTCTAGGTGCCAAGCCACAGATGCTCGACACAAACACTTCATGTCTATCACCTGGGAAACTCTTACATATTACCAAGTTCATCTTCTAGCACAATACTGCCTTGGGCACCTCTGGACCACAGTTTCTGCATGCTGACTTGAGGAAATACTTTTCAGGTTTTTCCTCGATGATGCTGGTCTCTGCTTAATCATAGCTGATTCTTCAGCCCCAGATGACCAATACTGACTGTCCCAGCAAAGCAAGGGTTTCGAGTTAGTAGCTGTGGTCTATTGTTTAGATTTCTCTAGTTGACCAGGAAAAAAAATGAATTAATTAAAAATATCACATAAATGGCCCTGACAGAGTCTTTGCTTCTCTCTGAAACTTCACAAGCTAAATATCCATGGCCTGCATTGCTGTGGGATGGTCTGTATGTCAAATGTGTTGCTGATTGGTCAATGAATAAATCACTGATTGGCAGTGGCCAGGCAGGAAGTATAGGCAGGACTAACAGAGAGGAAAATTGAGAGAACAGGAAGCTGGGAGGGGAGACACTGCCAGCCGCCATGAGGACAAGGAAGATGTAAAGTACCGGTAAGCCACAAGCCACGTGGCAAGGTATAGATTAATAGAAATGGATTAATTTAAGCTGTAAGAACAGTTAGCAAGAAGCCTGCCACGGCCATACAGTTTGTAACCAATATAAGTCTCTGTGTTTACTTGATCGGGTTTGAGCGGCTTGGGACTGGCGGGTGAGAGAGATTTGCCCTGACTGTGGGCCAGGCAGGAAAACTCTAGCAACACTGCATGGTTCCCATCATCTTAGCCTCCAAGCTTGTACAGAACAGCTCACTGAGCTCTGAGCATTCAATGGCTTTTCCAGCACAAAGTTCAAATGCTACCACAATCCTTTCCAAAACACATGGTCAGGTCTGTCACAGAAATACCCTATGACCTGATACAAATTTCTGTCTTAGTTAAGGTTTCTATGCTGTGATAAAACACCATGACCAAAAGCAACTTGGGGAGGAAAGAGTTTATTTCATCTCACACTCCAGGTAACAGTCTACACTGAAGTCATGGCAGGAACTGAAGCAGAGGCCATGGAAGGACACTGCTTAGTAGTTTGCTCCCCATGGCTTGCTCAGCCTGCTTTCTTATACACCCCAGGACCACCTGCCCAGGAGTGGCATCACCGCCATGGGCTGGGCCCTCGCACGTCAATCACTAATTAATAAAATGCCACACAGGCTTGCCTAGAGGCCAGTCTTATAGAGGCATTTTCTCAATTGTGGTTTCCTCTTTTCAGATGACACTTCTAACTTGTGTCAAGTTGACAATAAACTAGCCAGGACAAGCATGAACTTAAATTAACAAGAAGCTAAGACCACACACAAGGCTTGCACCCCAACCAGAAATAATCTGTTCAAAATGGAACAGAAGAAGTCCCCTGAGCTCCATCCATGCCCACAATCTTGTCAGAGAACTGTCAAAAAATACTTCTTCCTTCTGGCCTCCAGCATGTCTACTGCTGGGGTCAGGTTGCTATGGTTCATTGTAACTAAATCACCCCACCCCCCTTCTTAACAATGTGTGTTTCAGGAATCTTGAAATGAGAGAATGAATGTTATTTCAACAGAGCCTAGATGTATAATATTACACTACAGAAATGGGGGGGGGATGTATATTTATAAGGAGTATAAGAATGTGTTTTTTAGAGGCATTAATGTTGCAGTCGGTCAGTAGCCCACAAACTCCAATGCAAAAGAGATTTATCTTCAGCCTTCGGCTGATATAACAAGTTACTCCTAAACATGCCCATGACATCCTCATGTTTTTAATTGTAGATTTTGATGTTTTATTTATTTATTGGATTTTTGAGACAGTGTTTCTTTGTTAACAGCTCTGGCTGTCCTGGAACTAACTCTGTAAACTAGGCTGGCCTCGAACTCACAGAGATACACCTGCCTCTGCCTCCCAAGTGCTGAGATCAAAGGTATGCACCCCCACTGCCTGGCAATATTTTTTGTTTGTTTGTTTGTTTGTTTGTTTGTTTTGTTTTTTTAGATTTATTTTCTTTTATGTGTTTAGGTGTGGTGATATATTCTGTACCCCAATAAAGTTTACCTGGGGATCAGAGGACAGTGCCAGCCACTAAATAAGACATAGAGGTCAGGCAGTGGTGGCACACACCTTTAATCTTATCACTTGGGAGGAAGAGATCCCTTTGGATCTCTGTGAGTTCAAGGCCACACTGGGCTACATGAGAGAAACAGAACCAGGTAGTAGTTATAAACCTTTAATCCCAGGAAGTAATATGGCAGGACACAGAAAGGTATATAAGGCATGAGGAAACAGGAACTCTCTTGAGGTTGAGGATTTCGTAGAGGTAAGCTAGTGGCTGGCTCTGGGTTTTTATTATAAGACATTTTAAGATTTGTGTTACATTTAGGTGTTTTGCCTGCATATATGTATGTACCCAATAAGGCCTGAAGAGGGCACTGGATCCCCTGGAACGGGAATTATGGATGGTTGTAAACCAACCTGTGTGTGCTGGGAACCAAACTGGGTCCTCTGCAAGAGTAGTCAGTGCTCTTAACTGCTGAGCCATTTCTCCAGCCCCTTTACATTTTCTTTATTGTACTTTGAGACAAGGTCTCTTATAGCTCAAGCTGACCTTGAACTTCTGATTTTGCTGCCTCCACCTCCCAAGTGAAGGGATTACAGGTGTCTACCATTATGTAGTGCTAGGGACTGAACTCAGTTCTTTGCATTCTAGGCAAGCACTACCAAGCCTCATCCTCCACCCTGACATTTTCTTTTTCCTTTATTACCTTGTACTATGTGAATTAACTGGCTTAACTGTATATTAATTTTCATTTTTTTAACATAGGGTTTCCATGGTTTTTTTTTTTAATTTATTTTTATGTACGTGTTTCTGAGGGTATATCATGTGTGGATGTCTGGAGAGGCCAGACCCCCTGGAGTTGTCAGACCCCTGGAGTTTAAGTTACAGGTAGTTGTGAGCCACACCATGTGAGTGCTAGGCTGGCAAGACAGTTTGATGGACAAAGGAGCCTGCTGCCACATAGTGGAAGAAGAAAACTGACTCCTGAAAGTTGTCTTCTGACCTACACACACACACACACTTTAAATGTTACTAGTTTATTATTGGTACACCAGGATGTGAGATTAAGGGTTTTTATCTGTTCTGTTCACTTTAGTTACCTATGTGCTTGAGACCATGGCTGGCACATCCTGGCACACAGTGTCACTGAGTGAATGAATGAATGAATGCTCTGACCCCTGCCCTCCCTCTAGAGTTCTACTGAGTTCTCCTATCACGTGCTCACTTCCTTCAGTCATCCAGCCATGTTGACATTCTCTGCTCCTTCAGGAGGTCACGATCTTGCTGCTCTCTTCTGCCTGATGTTCTGGCACCGACCTCTCACTTCTCTCAGATAATATTGGATATATCTTATCTGTTCTTGAACCTGTTTGCTTATTCTCTAACCGTTGAAGATATTTCACATGGTTCATACCATTTCCCCAGTGTTCACTATAGTAGATGTAGTACTTAACAACCTGTGGACCTAACTGGGTATGAATTTTCCCAGATATAAAACAAAAAGATGCCGGGCGGTGGTGGCGCACGCCTTTAATCCTAGCACTTGGGAGGCAGAGCCAGGCGGATCTCTGTGAGTTTGAGGCCAGCCTGGGCTACCAAGTGAGTTCCAGGAAAGGCGCAAAGCTACACAGAGAAACCCTGTCTCGAAAAAACCAAAAAAAGAAAAAAGAAAAAAAGGCAGTCCTGTAGAATTTACAAAGATCCCCCCCACTTGTGGCAACTCGAGCAAGGCCCTGGAAGGTCAATACCAGGCTTGTGGCCAGCTAGGTTCTGTATCTAAGGAAAATGGTAAGTATGGACTAGTGCCAGGGGCAGAGCATTCACCCTGAGGCCGGATTTAAACTCACAGTTCTCTCAGGGTTGCTACTACACAGTAGAATTAAATAGGACATTATAGTCTTTACAAATAAATTCAAAGAAGCATTGAGTTGCTCATGCACTCAACTCTAATCCAAAAAAACTCATCTTGTAAACTTTTCTTTGTTCTGGTTCTCCAGAAATATGATGGTTGAGAATGGATGATCAACCCATAAAAACAGACCACAAGTCCAGACGTAATCTGTGGAATATGCTTTGTTTTGTTTTGCTAGGGGCTGGCTGGAGACGTTAGAGTGAAAAGTCTGGGGTCCTTCCCCAGCACTGTATAAAACGTGTGATGTTATACACCAGAGGTAGGGACAGGAAAACTACTAGGGAGTCCAGAAGTTAGCCTGGGACGCATGAAATCCTGTCTCAAAAACACCACAATGGTTAAAAATTAGTAGTTTTCTCAAAATACACGTTTCTGATGCTGCACACCTGTAATGCCAACAACTACCTGATGAATGCCTGTCTCAAATTTTTTTCTCAGTTGGTGTATTTTTTTTAAAGCCTGCGACGCCGGCTTTGCAAGTTCGGCTGGTGTGTGCTGTGCCCCTGATCGCAAGTGGACTTTGTTGTGTGGTGACTTGGTGAAGGCAAAGCACAGACTCGCGTTCCAGGCCCCAGCCACCCTGCGCCGTCCCGCACTAACCAGCCTCACCCGTATGTGGTCAGCAGCGCCTTGTTGACCAGCACGATGAGGAAGGAGCATGTCCCGTAGAAGAGCGCCGACAGCAGCCTGACTAGGCGAGAGGGTGGCCGCGCCGCGTCAGGCTCCTCCATCTCCGCTGTCCTCCGCCCCGCCACCACTGAGCCCGCGGTCCCCGCCCCTAGCCGCCCGGGAAGAGGGTGCGGCAGGAACAGGAAGAGCCGGGGCGCGAACCCTGATTCAGCCCGCGCCCCTAGTGCGCTCTCCCTTCCTCGCCGCGCAGACTGCCAGGTACCGCTGAAAAGCCGGCCTTAGCCCGCCGTCTTGCTTAGACTGCTCTCAGGCCACACCCCCAGCAAGGCTGATGTTTGCTTCCGTTTTTTTGGTTTGTTTAAAAAAAGTATAATTTACATCCTACAGGACGCGCCTGCGTCGCTAGTTTGAGATGAGTTTTTGACACATGAATATACCCAAGCAAACACGCAAATCCAAGCTCAACATCCCACAAAGGGTAAGAGTTCCCCAGGCCCTCCTCCGGTGCTTTGGAACTGTGTCTGCTGTGGTGCTGGCCTAGACTTTGCTTCAGATGTTTCAGTGCTCGGAAGTGCTCCCAGCTACTGCTTTATTACTCATCTGTCCATTCGACAATGATGGAATGATGTCATTCCCAATGTACAACTATTACTAAAAATACTTCCAGGCACATAGCAGGACAAGCGTTTGTGCAGAGCACTTCTGTTTAGCGTTCATAAACGCCTAGGATTGGAGCAGCAGAGCAGGGTGAGCCAAGATTCGGCTCCTCTTCTTCGGCTTGGTAAGTTCAGGCCTCCCTCACCCAGGGCCCATTTCTCCCTAGGACAGCAGTGCAGGATCCTAGTTCTTGTGAATAAAGGCTCGGAACTGCAGAACAGCTGTAGTAGTATTTCCAGTAAAATGTCTCCTATTTTAAAATCTAAATAATTAATTTAAAAAGCTGAAATTTTAGCCTTTTAGAAATGCTTAAGATTTTCTTTTAAATAAAGCTGAAGCCCAGTTGTATAAAGGCTAGAACTGCCTGCCAACAGCTGGATTGGAAGCTGAGCAGAACTTTTGGGAAGTGGCCTGGGAAGGGGAGGCACACAAAGACATGTAAGATTTTAAAATATGAATTATGGACTGGAGAGGAGCAGGGGTTAAGACCTCTATACATAAATATAGCCAGAATTAACAATAAAATAAATCAAAAATCAATATGGTCACTTGGGTTCATTTTCTCTAAAAGAGCTGTTGTTTCTGGTCACTCTCCACATACATAAACTTTGCAAAACAGTATTTTAAAGTCACATTTACAGCCTAGCAGGCATGAAGCCAAAGGTACTAATCTGAGCAGAAGCCTGCACTTGGGTACTCAGCCGTCTTCATATTTGTTCTTATGTTCATGTGTAGGACTTTTAGTTAGCATTAACTACCATTCCACAGCCTGACAAGCATTGTCGGGGAAGTCTGCACACACCACTGTTAGGTCCAAAGGGTTCCCCATTCCCCAGCAAAAGGGCAGGCTCACTACACTCCTTTTTACGCTAATTTAAGGCCTGGGATAGGGCTGGCAACAGTTAATACTTAACTACACCAGAGCCTTCCACATAGCAAAGCAGATAAAAACACTTGCTACTAAGCCCGATAACTTGAGTCTGATCCCCAGAACTTACATGTTAGAGTGATCCAACTCCAAAAGTTATCCCCAGGCCTCCACACATAAGCCTTGGCACATGGTCACCCCCTATGTTTTTCTTTTCCAAAAATTAACTACACCAATATAGTTGAATGAGAAAAATAAATTAAAAAAGGGGACATGACTGTTCCTAGGTATGGTGGTGATTTATTGTAGGAAAAAGGGAAAATATAGTCAGAGGCAGAGGCATCCGGAGGAGTCCAGAATAAACAAAACTCTGAGCCAGGCCATGTGAGGAGAGTGGGGAAGGAAGAGACAAGAGGTCAGAAGGACCAGCATAGCCAAAATAGTTGTATTATATAGGGAAAGCTGGGGGAAGGGCAGCCCAGCCCCTAGGTAGGAAAATTCAGGGTAGGCAGTGGGGTATGCCAGCCAGGAGGACCCTATAACAGATAGGGACTGAGGGATGCTGGGAGAACTTGGTGGCCACAGTCTACTTTGATATGTTAGTAGGCACCTCAGTCAGCCATTTGTCCCAGGTCTAAGACCTAACTTCAGTATATGTAGCTCAGTAGTACGATGCTTGCCTAGTTTTTTTGAGTCCCTGAATTCAGTCCCCACAACCTTAAAAAAGCTGTCTGAGACTGCTAAGATAAAGGATGTCAGGTGTGGGTTGTTTCTATTTTTTAGGGTTTTTTTTTTAATATCACCTATTTTATTTTTGATAGAGAAATTATAAAAACTGCAAGAATGACCCATGTACTTTGTTTTAAATTAAAATAAAATTTTATTTAAAGCATCTTTTAAAATTACAGCATGTTTATTAATATGCTGTTAACTCTGCCAAACTACAACTTAGCCATATGAAGCATAAAACACTTCAAAAATCTGAATGTAACCACATTTTTAAAACAAAAAGCAGTCATAACACACCTCAAATTTTAGATGCCAATGTATTTTGTCCAAGTACATACCTTATATCAAAAAAAAAGAAAAGAAAAAAATGCTTTAAAACATGGCCAATGGTAAGCAGTTGAAATAATTTCTTAAACTATCCAATCATACAAATAAAAAATACTTGGGAACCTAAACTACAATGGTTGACAAAAATCAGCTGGAGAAACAAACAAAGCCCTTACTTTTTATCATCTGTGAATTGGCTAACTGCATTTTTCAAATTGTACTACTGTCCTTAAGGTGAGTTGATCAGATTTTAAACTTCCCAATACTGGTGAGTGTTGCACTTTGATCCATATACTCCCATTCATCTGAGGAAAAATTCTAGAGAAAATGTTGAACTCCAAACCAAGAAAATTCAGATGCTATGGTCTCTTACCATACTTATAAGTGCTCCAAGTTAAAATTCTACATACCAAACTACAAATAAAATTCTTAGACCATTACAAATATAAATTCTGTTATTACAAAAAGCCCCTAAAGATCTGTCATTGACTATACAGAGGAATTCCATTTTTAAAGTATGTCCTCGTCATACACATTATTGTAACTACCACTTCTTCAGTTTCACACTAGTGCTTCTCAAGATATTTCCTTACCTCCCCTCTCCAAGGCTACACAATTTAACTACCTGTGTACTACAACTGCTGAGATTTTTGATAACAAAGCCTACATTCTCAATAATGTGTAATCTAAACTTGTAGGGTGCTATCTCAACTCAAAGGCACTGAAGAACCCATTTTCTTCCTATTACTTTGAAGTCTCCAATTAAGGAGTCTATAAATCACCATGTTCTGTATATAGTTTCATTCACCTTTTAATAAAAGCTCAAGTAACAGAGATTTCTGACTCTATAAAAGAGATGGCTGCTCAGCCCTGGGATTCTGTTCATGCCTAAGTACACAACGTGTGTTCAATAACTTCATCTATTTGGAGAAAATGGTTTTGAACCACCAGACAACACACTTGCAGTTAAAACTATCTCAGAAGCCTGCATATTTGAGTAGCTAATATTTACTCAAGTGTTTAACTGATAGCTAAATTTAGTGAACACAAAATAGCTTGGCATGTTATTCTGAAGTGAAGCAGAAAGGTGGCAATATGCACTGAAAATATAAATATGGAGGCTTCCATCCGCTAATAATGCTAAACAAGCAGTACAATTAAAATTTAGTGTTTACTATCAAAAGACCTAAAACATTTCACTACAAAACAACCCTGCAGATGTCCCTTTTATTAATATAAACATAAGTGCCAATCTCATTACAGGGCCCATAAAAGATCTCACTGGTGTACACACACACACACACACACACATACATGTGCACCAGTTGCTGGGTTACCTAGACTTTGCAAGATTAATCACTCAGATCCAGCAGCTGAGCAATGTGCAAAACTCCCCAGTCAACAAGCTGGGTGACGAGCTTTCTAAGCGTCAGCATTACAGTTAGTTAAAAAGCCCAGAAAGATGCGATGAGACTCATTTTACACCAATATAAAAAAACTCAACTACTACCCCTTACCAAGATCCTCAAATACCTATTTTCTTCCAAGTCATAACTTATAGCATCTTTCCAAATAGCTGGCCTTCCATTTCTCTAGCCCTATTGGGCATGCTATTTTGCAATTTAAAAATATGTATTTTATACATATGTTTCACACTGCCCTGCTTCAGTGTTTATAGTACTGTCACACATACTAACATACACTGTTTAAAATGATCTTATAAATAATCTATTTCAACCTTCTTTGGCTATTTGAACCAAACTGTTTTTTCATACAAATGTCTTATTCACAAAGTGCTTCCTGTGAGAACTGCTTCCAATGAATGCATTAAACTTGCAAAACCTAGCTTCCCACAACATGTAGCTTCTACCCTGTAACTGCAGTCCATATTTACAAAATATTTTAAACTTTACATCAAATCCATTTCTGTATAAAAAAAAAGTGCAATTCTCTCTCACCCCATGTCTGAGGCAACAACATTCTTCATGAGTTTCTACAGAATAGCAGCCTATGATAAGCAAATAAGGTGCTTAGCTTATGCCCAAGGATCTACTTTGTAAGTATGCTGGGCAGTACTTTTGTACAGTGAAGAGTCAGTGCTGGGGCTACTGGCGGAGTGGTGCCCCTGTCAGGTTGGCCAGCTCAATGAGTGCCAGGGCCCCATGCAGCCGCTCTCGCTGCTCCTGCAGCCGGCGCTGGGCGCCGCTCTTCTCATCGTCCTCTTCATCAGACTGGAGGTACTCCATTGGGTCCTGCTGCTCCTGATCAGCCTTCTGTACTAGCTTGCCTTTCAGGGTGGGGGTGCGTTGCTCTCTCATTTCCCAATACCTGTGTGAAAGGCAGACAGGTTATTTATATGGTAGATATCAGGTTGTCATATATTTTCTTAGTGGGGCTGGAGAGATGGCTCAGTAGTTAAGAGCACTAGCTTCTATCCCAGAAGACCTGGGTTAGGTTCCCAGCACCTATATGGCAGTCTGCAGGAACTGTCTGTACCTCCAGTTCCAGGGAATCTGATGCCCTTTTCACGCCCCCATGAACTCCTGCACACATATACACTCAGGCATACACACATAAAATACTTTTTAAAAAATAGTTTGTAATTCTCAAAAGATGAAGCATGAACAGTAAACAAACATGTAAAAAACAAAGTTCAACATCTTTAACTATCAGGATAATTAAAATTACACTGAGATCCTATCTTGCCTCAATCAGACC